CTGAGCAGTAATGACATTCCGAGCAGTAATTACATTTCAAGCAGTAGTGACTGTCCGAACAGTAGTGACGTTTCAATCAAGAGTCAGTCTCAGCAGCTGTGAGTTTCAGCAGTAGTGACATTTCAAGCAGTGGTGATTGTCCGAGGAGTGGTGACAGTTCAAGTAGTAGTGACATTTCGAGCGGTAGTGACATTTCGAGCAGAGGTGACATTTCGAGCAGTAGTGACATTTCGAGCAGCAGTGATATTTCGAGCAGTAGTGACAGTTCGAGCAGTAGTGACATTTCAAGCAGTGGTGACAGTCCAAGCTTTAGTGACATTTCAAGCAGTGGTGACAGACCAAGAAGTAGTGACATTTCAAGCAGTAGATACATTTCAAGCAGTTGTGACAATCCGAGCAGTAGCGACAGTTCGAGCAATAGTGACATTTCAAGCAGTTGTGACAGTTCAAGCAGTAGTGATAGTCTGAGTAATATTGGCAGTTCGAGCAATAGTGACAGTACTAGTAGTAGTGACAGTTTAAGCAGTAGTGAATGTTCAAGCAGTAGTGACAGTCCGAGCAGTAGTGACAGTTCAAGCAGTAGTGACAGTCCAAGCAGTAGTGACAGTCCGAGGAGTAATGACATTTCAAGACAGTCTGAGCAGTAGTGACAGTCTGAGGACCAATGACAGTCCGAGGAGTAGTGACCGTTCAAAGACTAGTGACATTTCAAGCAGTGGTGACAGTCCAAGCAGTAGTGACTATTCAAGCAGTAGTGACAGTTCGAGCAGTAGTGACAGTCTGAGCACTGGTGCTCAGACTGTCACTAGTGACATTTCAAGCAGTAGTGACAGTCCAAGTAGTGGTGACATATCAAGCAGTGGTAACAGTCCAAGCAGTACTGACAATTCAAGCATTAGTGACAAATCAAGCAGTAGTGACATTTTAGGAAGTAGTTACAGTTTGAACAGTAGTGACATTTTAGGAAGTAGTGACAGTTTGAACAGTAGTGACAGTCAGAGCAGTAGTGACAGTTCGAGCACTAGTGACATTTCAAGCAGTTGTGACAGTCCAAGCAGTAGTGATAATTCAAGAAGTAGTGACAGTTGAGTAGTAGTGTCAGTTCAAGCAGTAGTCACAGTTCGAGCAATAGTGACAGTTCAAGCAGTAGTTACATTGCAAGCAATAATGACAGTCTGAGCAGTAGTGACATTCTGAGCAGTAATTACATTTCAAGCAGTAGTGACCGTCCGAACAGTAGTGACATTTCAATTACGAGTCAGTCTCAGCAGCTGTGAGTTTAAGCAGTAGTGACATTTCAAGCAGTGGTGATTGTCTGAGGAGGGTGACAGTTCAAGTAGTAGTGATATTTCAAGCAGTAGAGACATTTCGAGCAGTAGTGACATTTCGAGCAGTAGTGACATTTCAAGCATTGGTGACAGTCGAGCAGTTGTGACAGTTTGAGCAGTGTGACATTTCAAGCAGTTGTGACAGTCCGAGCAGTAATGACAGTTTAAGCAGTAGTGACAGTTTGAGCAGTAGTGACAGTCCGAGCAGTAGTGATAGTTCAAGCAGTAGTGTTAGTTTGAGCAGTAGTGTCATTTCAAGCATTGGTGTATATGTATGTATATATATATATATATATATATATATATATATATAATATATATATATATATATACATATATTTATTTTATCATCATCCACCTATGGATGAGACTTGTACCTGTGAGGGTCCCACATGTCAAGCCGCCAGGCAGGGACTCGGCCTATCTCAAGTTCCTCACGACAGGTTTGGTCGATCTGCCCAAGCCACAACTTCCTAGGTTATCCTCCACCCAGGGGTGTCTTGAACAGAGACAACCTGGTGGGTAGGATCATCCTGAGGGAAGCGAACCAGGTGGTCGTATAGCCTGAGTTGGCGATCATGGATTGTACAGGAAATAGGTCTCATTGTGCAACTGTTGGTTTGATATGTGGTCCTGCCAACAGTACCCCATAATCTGGAGCAGGGACCTATTACAAAAGGCATCAAGACCTGACTCAAAGGCACAGGATAATGTCTAGGTTTCACTACCGTATAGCAAAACTGGCATTATCAGGACCTTGAAGACATGTAGTTTGGTCCTTCTGCACAGGTACCGGCCTCTCCAAATACTCTTGTCGAGAGAGTTCATGACCCCTTCTGCCATGCCAATCCGTCTGCTGACTTCTTGGTCTGACAGCCTAGGGTTATGAACTAAACTTCCAAGCTATGTAAAGTCCCCAAAGTCCTGGATCTTGGTCTTGGTCCAGGAGACCTCTACGCTTCATTACTAAATGCATCAAGAGCCACAACTAAGGATTCCAAAGACTCAGATAGAATAGCAATATCATCAGCAAAGTCAAGGTCGGTAACCTTGATATTGCCCAGAGTTGCTCCACAATGACTTTAAACAGTAGCTCTGCCCAGTATCCAGACCATGCAAGTGTTGAAAATTGTTGGTGCAAGGATACAGCCTTGCCTCCCTCCTGAACTAAC